AGTAAACTTTTATTAATTATTTAATGGGAATAAAATAATTTATAAATTAAAGTAATTTTTCAAAATATATTTAAAATTTAAATATATTACAAACCAAGTAAAAGATTGGACCATAATTCTAATTATATATATATTATATTACAATATAATATATATTATTAATATTTTAAATAATATATATGTATGTATTTTACATTGTAATATTACATACCTAGTTAATGCAATGTAATTTTATTTTAAGGTTGTTTCTGGGAATATAACATCTATGACTCAAAAAAGTTTCATTTTAGTAGTTCTATCTCCTTTAAAGAGTGGTAACATGTCTTCCAAATTATTGCACTATGTTGTTACTGTTTTAGCAATACCTTTTGTTACTCCAAATATTCAACAAACTGAAAAAGACTCAATAACTCAAGTATTTATAATTATTTTATTTWATTTATTTTTATATCATTATTTTGTGTTTGTTGTAGATTTATATTGAAACTAAAGTCATTCCATGTTTAATGCAAGCATTTTCTAATGCTATCAAATCTCCTGCTCGTAACTGTGTATCACCTGCACCTCCTGATAGTATTGGCATTCAAGAATTAGGCAGTCTAGAATCGGTGCTTCTTTTRGTAGAAGGRTTATGCTTAGATAAACCTATTGAATGTCTTAAACAATTTACTGAGAGTATYTATTTTTTGAAAATTCTACCATTATTACAAAAATGTTTATCGTTGAGTCATGGTAATACACATTTGGTTACTAATACACTTGCCGTATTAATATTAACATTAATATATTTGCCATGCAACATTAATTTAGTGCAAGATATAGTTCTTGGGAAACATTTGGAAGGTACTGTAATCGTTTTTATTTTTTTTTCATTTAAAATTATGTTATTATTTTTTGATATAATACCAAAATATTTACTTTTCAGGTAGAATTTCAAATGTTGAACTTCATAAATTGCTTAGAAACAATGAAGACCCTTCCATAAGAGAAAGAACATGTGTTCTTTTATTACATATGACTAGACTAAATCCTAATTGTCTTTTAGAAATTTGGCATCAAACTCTTACCAATGATATWGAATTTTTAAAAARTGATCCATGTCCAAATGTTGTCCAGGTACATACAAATCACGAYTTTTATTTATTCCTATTTAAAGATTATTTTAAATTTKTATGTATTTTTAAATTAAAAATATAGACATTTATTAACTTATTTAAATTAATGTAGCCAATGRCCCTAGTCACTGAGCCAGTTATTTATCAATTATAATAATAAAAAAACTTATTTAAGATTATTAAAAGTAAAGGTCTACACCAGTAGTTCTCAACCGGGGTGACATGTCACCTAAGGGTGACATGGACCTAGCTTAGGGGTGACGCAGAATTTTAACAAGAAAAGAAAAAAAATT